TGGTTTGTCAATTTTATTGATCTTTTCAAAAAACCAACTTCTGGTCTTGTTGATTTTTTCTATAGCCCTTCTATTTTCTGTTTCATTGATTTCTAGGAAGTATCTTCTTAAAGTATGAAAACTTATATATTTACAAGAAGAATGAAACTAAGCTTTATTTATTAGTGAAGGGTAAAAGAAAAGAGTTCTCACAAATAGCAGAAGAAAAGCAGACCTACATTACTGAATGCTGATCTAGGTAACTAATTGTATTTTAGTTGAAATTTTCAAGATGGTCAGGTGAGGCAAGTAGCACACTGTGTATGCACTTATTTTACTAGTGCTGATGAATAAAATTTTTAATTATTAAATTTTAATTACTGTCTGAATGCATTTTTTAACGATTTATTAGAAAATCTTCAAAACAAAGCATATCCTTCTGCATGAGCAAGAATTATAACAGAATAAGCTGTATATAACTTAACTTTCCTTTGATCGATAACTCACAATTTTCATTAAAATATATCCTTCGTACCATATCATAGATTGTTGTTACTGATAGGTAACAGCAAGTCAATTCCAACTTTTAGCAACCATATGCACAACTGAACAGAAAACTGCCCAGTCCTGTGGCATCCTCACAATTATTGCTATGCCTAAGCCCACTGTTGCAGCCCCTGTAGCAATCCATCATCTCACTGAAGGTCTTCTTCTGTTTAGTTGACTCTCTACTTTGCCAAACATGACGTCCTTTTCCAAGGACTGGTCTCTCCTGATAATATGCCCAAAGTGTGTGAGACAAAGTCTCACCATCCTTGCCTCTAAGGAGCATTCTATTATACTTCTTCTAAGATAGGTTTGTTCATTCTTCTGTCAGTCTATAGTATATTTCAGTATTCTTCACAACATCTTAACTCAAATGCATCAATTCTTCTTCAGTCTATCTTATTCAGTGTCTAGCTTTCACAGGCACATGAGACAACTGAGAACTGATAAGCCACTGACCATGGCTTGGGTCAGGCGCACCTTAATCCTCAAAGTGACGTCTTTCCTTTTTAAAACTTTAAAGAGGTCTTCTGCAGGAGCTCTGGTGGCATAGTGCCTAAGGCATTTGACTGGTAACCGGAAGGCTGGTGGTTCAAACCCATCAACTACTCCTAGGAAGGAAGGTTGAGCAACCTACTTCCGTAGTAATACTGCCTCGGAAACCCAAGTAAGGATTGCTCGGATCTGACTCAATGGCAGTGAGTTTGGTTTGGTTTTTATTTGGTTTCTGCAGAAAATTAGCCCAATGCAATACATAATTTGATATTCTGAGTGCTGCTTCAATGGGTGTTGATTGTGGAATCAAGTAAAATGAAATCTCTGACAACTTCAATCTTTACTCCATTTATCATTATGTTGTTTACTGGTCCAGTTGGGAGGATTTGTTTCCTTTATGTTGGGGTTTAATTCAAAGGCTGTAGTCTTTGATCTTCATCAGTAAGTGCTTCAAGTCCTCTTCACTTTCAGAAAGCAATGTCATAGATACTGATACAATTACTGATCAAGGACTGAATGTTGTTGTTGTTGTTGTTATGTGCCGTCAAGTCAAACCTGACTCATAGCGACCCCTCCTTGGGTTTCTGAGGCAGTATCACTACGGAAGTAGGACTGCCCAACCTTCCTTCCGAGGAGCGGCTGGTGGGTTTGAAGGACTGAATAGGTTATAACAATAACAGAGAAAGACCATGCCACATGAAGTCAATTTTAAGTTAAATACTACAAAAATTTGCTATTTTCACAAACTAATCATTCATGATTAAACAATGATATCACACACACAGTTCTGCAACATTATACTTCAAGACCATTATACTGTACCGCTTCAGAGAAAGGTTAGCCTCTCCTCCATGACTTGAATCATTACCAGCATCATGAACAGCCTCATAGTGTTTGAAAAGTTCATCAGCAGATCCAAGAGATTTCATACACTGAGGACATATGAAGCCCTATAGAAAAAGGTGGAGAAAGATGTCATAATGGTATTTAAAATTGCAGAATAAAAATTTGCATACTATGAATTAAAGTCAAATATTTGTGCACCCCAACAGTGACATTAATTATAATTATGGTATTGATTCCAAATCCTGATACTGTGCAAATGTATTTCACTACCTACTCAGATTGAAGTTTACAAAACATAAAGAAAACCCTTATAAAACCATTTTTTCAGATTGAATAATTTCATGGCTAGAGTATGGAATTCTAGTCTGGGAATTCAGACAAACTGAAAAGTTTTACGTTATATCTTCCTTCTCTGTATGTTGCTGCTGTTGTTGTTAGGTGCCGTCAAGTCATCTCTGACTCATAGCAACCCTATGCATACCAGAACAAAACACTGCCCGGTCGCACACCAGTTCTGCAATCCCTGCTATACTTGAGCCCATCATCATTGCCACTGTGTCAATCCATCTTGTTGAGGGCCTTCTCCCCTTTCATCGACCCTCCATCTTACCAAGCATGACATCCTTCTCCAGGGAATGGTCCCTTCTGACAAAATGACCAAAGTATGTGAGACAAAGTCAAGCCATTCTCACTTCCAAGGAACGTTCCAGCTGCACTTCCTCCAGGACAGATTTGTTAGTTCTTTTAGCAGTCTATGATACTTTCAGCATTCTTCACCAGCACCACAACTCAAAAGCATAGATTCTTCTTCAGTCTTCCTTCCTCCTTGTCCAGCTCTCACATGCATATGAGGCTACTGAAAATACCACAGCTTCTGTCAGGAGCACCTTCATCCTCAAGGAGACATCTTTGCTCTTCAGCACTTCAAAGAGGTCCTTTGCAGCCGATTTGCCAAGTGCTATATGTGATCTGATGTCCTGACTGCTGCTTCCATTGATGTCGACTGTAGAACCAAGCAATGTAAAGTCTTTGACAACTTCAATATGTTCTCCATTTATCATGACACTGCTTATTTATTGGGCTAATTATGAGTATTTTTGTTTTCTTTATCTTGAGATGTAATCCATACTGCAGACTGTATTCTTCAATCTTCATCAGTAAGTGCTTCAAGTCATCCTTACTTTCAGCAAGAAAAGTTGTGTCGTCAGCGTATCGCAGGTTGTTAATGATTCTTCCTCCAATCCTGATGCCAAGTTCTTCTTTATATAGTCCAGCTTCTCAGATTATTTGCTCAGCATATAGATTGAATGCTGTTGTTGTTATGTGCCGTCGAGTCAGACCCGACTCATAGTGATCCCTCCTTGGGTTTCCAAGGCAGTATCACTAT